GTCCCAACTGGTGGGGTTCCAGACTCGACAGAGCACGTAGTCCTGATGGGCGAAAAAATGGCTGGATGCTGAACCTGGCTGTCAAGGATGATAGGAATGTACACCATCAAAGAGGCAGATCTACTGAGGCTGATGGGTGAGGACTACTACCCCAATTTCACCCAAACTTTAGAAAAAAAAATTAAGATCATTGGTTAGTTTTCCTAATTGGTCAGGTTTATAAGTGGAAACTGATTAAAAAAAAAATTTATAATAAATACAACCCTAATATGAAAAAAACAAAACTCTGCCAAATAAGTTACTATAGCTTCCTCATCATTACAATTGAGTTAATACGGCAATACACATAAATTTCACAAATATTATAATTTTATTTTAAAAATTAATAGAATAATCCAATAAAAAGTCCAATAAATAAGTTTAAAAATTTATATAACCTATCATTACATACATTCACTGCTTTCAAATAAATAAAACAATAAATTTTAAATTTGCATTCTAAACAATTTGTTAGATGAAATTTGATGAAATTGATATTAGATAGACCACTTGCAAACTTTTCTCCAAATTTGGGTCAAATCGAACAAGGTGTTTTTGAAATAAAATTGCATTAATGAAAATACATTGGTACATTTCTAAGCAAACATAGCTGATCAGATTTAATAAAATGGATGCCTACTTCATCATAATTTCACCAATCACTCACTTTTCAGCCATTTTGGACCAAATTAAATGAGTTGATTTTGAAATATCACATTACTTACTTATTCGGCACTACGACCCTTGAAGTCGAGTCTAGTCTTGCTCTAGTGTCGACCACCAGTTGTTTCCACCAGTGTCAAGTGCTGCTGCCCTCCAACTGCAGATATCCAATATGGTTCAGGCGTCTAAAGCTACACAGTCCTTCCACCGAAGACGTGGCCGGCCTGCTTTTCTCACACCAAAGATTCGCTCCCTTAGGATTTTGGCTGGGATTTCGTCTTGCTCCATCCTAATCACATGTCCAGCCCTTATAGCACTTAGCCCGCCAAAGACTTGTTAGCTTCATAAAATGTAAATTCCTTATAAAGCAGCCTCACTTCATTGTTGGAACAGCGTCTCCACTTTCCACTAACTATAACTGGACTATATATTCTCCTCAGGACACTTCTTTCGAATCTCAGAGAATTCGTGTGTTTGGGTAAGGGTTCAGTTTTCTGAAGCATATGTGAGAACTGGCCGGAGCCTTGTACAGCCTGACTTTCGAGGATTTGGAGTGGAGACCACCACTCATATGCTTCTGCAGAGCAAAATAACATCGATTAGCTGCCATAATCTGCTTTTCAACTTCTGCTCTAATATCATTTTGTTTTGGAATATCACCATATCAAGAAAAATATGTTTGCCCATATGTAATAGATAAGAGAATTAAATGAAATTAATACAACATCATTTTTTCAATAATTCCCAATTTTCATGTCAGCAAAATTTAACAAGCCATTTTTAAAATATAGATAGTGTCTGAAAAAATACATTTGCGCATGCGTAACCAAAAGTATAAAATGGAATTTGATAGAATTAATAAGATACCATCTATGCACCAAATCAGCACAATTCTTGAAAATTACATTAAAATCAGCGAAATGGTACTGGATATTACACTCATCACATGGATTTAACGAAAGAAAGACAAACTTTAAGAGTAGGTTTTAATATTTTTTATGATATAATAGAAAATGACAGCCTATTACGCAAGAATAAGGAAATTACGGGTCACCTTCCCTAGGTAGCCGCTCCGGATGGGGGAGCTAGTCAGGACGCTCGGAGGAGGCAGCCCCTCTACCTGACTCGGGGGCAGTGGGCTGATAACCCACCCCCTCTAAAGTACCTTATCACGAAACCTCAAAGAGAAGAAGCCGGACTGAATTACGGTAACAGACCCAGGAAACGCCTAAATGACCTAAGAATTGGATTTTGGAATATTTTATCATTACATAGACTAGGAGCACTTTGTGCGCTCCTTGCAGAAGTGGACACATACAGAATCGAGATAGCAGCTATCCAAGAGGTCCGATGGATAGGACAGGGAATTATGGAGAAGAAGTACCATACACTCTACTATAGCTGCCATGAAAAGCATCACGTCTTCGGTACCGGATTTGTTGTGAGAGGCAGAGCTCGACAGCTAGTGATGCGATTCACTCCCATCAACCAAAGGTTATGCTACATTCGGCTTAGAGGAAAATTTTTTAATTTCTCTCTAATTAACTGCCATGCCCCAACAGAGGTGTCACCTGAGGAGGATAAAGAAACATTTTATGAAGAACTTGGACGCGTGACAGAAAGCTGCCCCAAAAATGATGTTAAAATCATTCTTGGTGACTTTAACGCCCAAGTTGGTAAGGAGGTGGCACTCATGCCGACCATAGGAACCCACAGCTTGCATGAGACCAGTAATGATAATGGGCTACGGATGGTGAACTTTGCTACATTGCATGGACTGGTTGTTGGAACAACTCTTTTTCCTCGAAAGAATATCCACAAAGCAACATGGATCTCTCCAAATGGGCAAACAACATCACAGATAGATCATGTACTCATTAGTGCCCGTCACAAGTCCAACATGATAAATGCAAGATCTTATAGAGGTGCAAATATGGACACGGATCACTATTTGAGCATTGCCGAGGTCAGATCACGAATTTCGCTGGTTAAAAACCACCACCAACGACCAAAGAAGAAGATTGATGTAGCTAAACTTAAGGACTCAGACCACCAATATTCGTATCAACAAGCTGTGGAGACGAAACTTAATGAAGAAGTAATTAATGACAGCTCTATGGTCGATGAACAGTGGAAGAGATGCAGCAACGCAATGAAACAGGCAGCAGAAGAATCTCTTGGCTACGAGACTAAATCTAGAAGGCCCCCATGGTTTGATGCTGAGTGCCTTCAAGCAGTAAAAGTGAAAAATGAAGCCTACAGAAAGAAGGTTCAGCGTCCCACAAGGCTCTCCCAAGAAACATATCGAAGAAAAAGACGCGAAGAGAAGAGATTACTCCGCGGAAAGAGAAGAGCTTGGGAAAATAAGAACATGGAGTACACAGAGGCATTGCGCGGCCAAAATGAAAGTCGGCTGTTCTTTCAGAGAATAAACGAGGGTAGGGCAGCTTTCAGGCCCAGAGTGACGACATGCAAAGACACGAACGGGACTCTTTTAAGCCACAAAGATGACGTACTAAGGAGATGGGTACAACACTTCAAAGACGCATTAAACAGAGGAACGGTGCCTGGAGAAGTAGGAGTAATGAAGGAAGACTCCCTGAATTCTATTGAACCCCCGGATGAGGAGGAAATGGAAAACGCCCTGAGGAAATTGAAAAATAGAAAGGCGCCAGGCCCGGACGGAATCCAGTCAGAGCTGTTGAAATGTGGAGGTGAAGAACTCAAGAAAGCTCTGCATGATTTAATGCTGACCATCTGGGAGAGGGAAGCTATGCCTACGGAATGGGCAACAGCCATTATCTGCCCAATACATAAGAAAGGAGATCAAACAGAATGCGCTAACTATCGAGGAATCTCACTCCTTTCGTGTGCTTATAAGCTGCTCTCTAACATTCTTTTTGAGAGGATCCTCCCGTATTCTGAAAAGGAACTGGGGAAATATCAGGCTGGATTTCGACGAGGACGCTCAACCACTGATCAACTGTTCTCTCTGAGGATGATCCTAGAAAAGACTATGGAGCGTAAGGTAGTCACCCACCATTTATTCCTGGACTTTAAAGCAGCATACGACAGCGTTGATAGAACACAACTATACTGTGCCTTGGAGGAGCTAAGCATCCCTCAGAAGCTCGTACGCCTAATCAAGATGACCATGGACAGCTCGAGATGTAGAATACGCATCGGTTCTGATGCCTCCGAAGAGTTTAAAGTGAGCAGTGGGGTTCGGCAAGGGGATGCCCTCGCCTGTCTATTGTTCAACTTGGCAGAGGAGAAAGCTGTAAGAGACTCCGGTATTCAGACCAGTGATATAATCTTCAATCGCCTGACACAGCTTCTTGGTTTTGCTGATGATATTGACATAATAGGTAGGTCTGAACGGGCTCTCAGAGAAGCGTTTATAGGCCTTGAAGCAGCTGCAAGACCACTTGGTCTAGAAGTCAACGAGAGGAAAACTAAGTATATGAGAGTTGGTGGTGAGGTGGATCTGAACTCTCCATTTGAGGTAGGTTCTTTTAAGTTTGAGAGAGTGAAAAGTTTTATATACCTTGGGTCTGAAATTAATAGCAAAAATGACATGGCTCAAGAAATACAGAGAAGGATCACGGCTGCCAATAGATGTGTCTTTGGACTTGGCCGGCACTTAAGAAGTAGGTATCTCTCAAAGAAGACCAAGCTGATCATATACAAGACCCTTGTACGGCCTGTTTTGACATATGGCTCAGAGGCTTGGACGATGACTAAAAACGATGAGATGAAGCTGAGTGTGTTTGAGCGAGGAGTCCTCAGAAGGATTTATGGTCCAGTAAAGGAGGGTGATGTCTGGAGGAAAAGAAAAAATAGGGAGCTCAGTTCTCTTTATACAGACATTGACGTAGTCACGTATATTAAACTGGCCAGATTAAGGTGGGCAGGGCATGTGGCCAGAATGAGCACCGTTGAGATACCCAAGAAAATAATGATGGAGGAGCTGCACCTCGCAAGACGGGTAGGAAGGCCGAGGACGAGGTGGTTGGACAACGTGGCTTATGATGCGAGAACCCTGCTTGGTGTACGGAACTGGAGAGCTGCAGCAGAAGACAGAGCCAACTGGCGGAGGCTCTTGGAGGAGGCCCAGTCTCGGTAACGGGATGTCGTACCACATATGATGATGATGATTACGCAAGAATATAAAGTAAAACCAAGTGACATACATAAATTCACTCATGATGGCAATATTATCTACACGAAAAGCATTAATCACTAACACACAGGTGCACACATACACTGCATAAATAAAAATAATGACACATAAATACCTGGCTCATGAATTCCCGGTAAATCAGTGATTTCCAAGACAAACAGTTGTCGACCCAAAACACTTTTACCAATATTATACAACCTTGTAATAGAAGGATACTCAGCAGCTAGTGATAGTAATATTTGTTCAAGCTCATTATAATGATGATGCTTAAAGTCTACAGGTATCAAAAAACCATATTTATCCACTTTGATTTCTTGCTGTTTATAAGTCGCTAAAACAAAAAAGAAAAACAAAATTAAACAATGCATTTGTATACTAATAGAATGTAGGTCAAATTATTCAATTTTATGTATGAATATATACATAAGCCCTGTAATAGACACATATACTAGGTTGTCCCATGAATTCTTTCCTTTTTCTTTATTTGTTGTTTAAAGGTTGATTTACTACATTATATATGAATTGTTCTGTTCTATTACCTTCTAGTTCGAGAGCCCATGAGAAAAAATTGACATTATTTGACGAAAACTTTAAAAGCATTTTTTGGAATATTTATATTAAAAAAATGAGAGTCTGCCAGTCAGATCTTGCTACCTATGAAAATGGCGGTTGATTGAATGAATATTAGACCAGTAACTTGAGGATCAAAACAGAAAATTCATTGCAAAAAAGGTGGGAAAAGTTTTCATTTTTGTAACTTGTATATAGAATAGAGAATTAAACTTTATTCTGGGAATAAGTCTCCTTAAAATAACAATGATAAACAAATACAAAAGAAAATAAATATCGGGCCAAAAACTAACTTATAAAGATTCTAACGTTATGTACATTAATTTAAAAAATAGTATGTAAAACACTACAAAAAAAAAAAAATGAAAATAAAATTTTCTCCAAACACTTGTTATTGTAATGGAAGAAAAAAAAAAAGAAATTACATATTTATATATACATAACTACACAAGTTATAAACATAGGCTAACTAATAAAAACTAACTTAATACAAACTGTAATAATATCTACAGTGATTTACATAATATGCAAAGACTAAAAGAAATAAAAATAAAATCTTCTCAGGAATATTTGTAGAGTAGTGGAAAAAAAAAATCTGGCGTGTATACTCACACGACATTCCTACCTATTTCAGAAAAGTTTTTAAATCTTTAAATATGTCCATTAAGAAACAACAAACATTTGAATTAGATTTGTTTTCCTGAAAATTGATAAAAAAAAAAAAAGATTTGCGTACAATTTCTTTGATAAACTAAAGCAACATAAACCGGCTTGGGGTAGATCAGTGAAAAAATTTCAATACCCTCTAATATTGCTAATCAAAAAGTTTTTGCCATAGCCTAATTTTGTCACACAATCATTTCTGTTAAAAGTAGAGGAAATAATGAAGCTTGTGTGATGCAATAGATTTTCTTACTTTCACTTAGTTTTCTATTTTCTCTCTCATTCATCCCTTTCTGACACCAGGATATGAACCCGTAATCTTACATATGAAATTGAATAGCTGTAACTTCGTTAATAGTTGTCCGAAATGAACGATTTTTAGAGAACGAATTTTTTTTTATAGAGCACCCGATTCGTGTCACAGGCATCAGTAGTCAAAACCGTACAAAATAACCAACAAAATAATAACAAAACCAGTTCACTAGTTACTGAGAAAATCTTGGCACAGGCAGACAGACCAATGGCTAAAAATGTGTTTTTCGGACTCAAAGGGCTCTGAAACTTATAGATCCGTCGAAAACTGCACATCAGAAATTTGATCGGATCACAATATTTTCTTTACCTTGTATAGGTAGGAAAGTAAAAAAATATATTGTAATATACACTTTAATTGAAAGTTGTTAAAAATGGCTTCATAAATTAATGTAACTGTTAAAAAGTAAGCTAATCTAGTTCTACTAGTTCAGGGGAATAAAAATAGCTGCTCTGTAGTTTCCCCAAAAAGGAAAATCCCAAAGAGGAGAGGGACAAAGGATTTTTTTAGGGCAAGCAGTTGGTGTTTGGCTGGGGTGAAGAGAGGACGGGAGAAGGGATCCTGGCTCCAGTGAACTGTTACTAAAGAGCTTAGCAAAATCAATTCTTCAATTGATATTGGATCAGAAAATCTCTTTAAAAAAGAGAAAGAAACCCTTGAAGAAAAATTAGTGACAGCAGAAGTTCCGGTAGAAACTCATACAGTTAATCTCATAGATACCAAGAAAGAACTTCTTAAGTTTCAAATTGAGTTCAAAGGAGTAAAATCCAGCAGAGAAAAGTATGGTAGTTATTTTAGTCCAGAAGTTCCTTTAATTCCAGGAAAGACAACTATACGATTCAAATTAATAATTAAAGCAATTTCTAACTTTCTTCTAAAATATGGATTAGACCTAGTAATATCCAGCCAAAACAAATTACAACTTATTAGACTTTTAAATATTATTATCAGAAATTATATTTATATATTTTTTTTCAATTTATTTATTTTAAGCCAATTTTACACCAATTTCTAATTTGGTAAACAAAAGGACTTCGTCAAGGTGATGCGTTAGCATGCCTTCTCTTTAACTTGGCACTTGAGAAGGCAGTCAGGGATTCTGGTCTGCAAACTAATGGGACGATTTACAACGGGATGGTTCAGCTATTAGCCTACACGGATGAGGTGGACATCGTGGGGCGGTCATTGCAATCTGTGAAAGAGGGATTTTTAACTTTGTTGGAGGCCACCAGAGCACTTGGGTTAGAAGTGAATGAAGGCAAAACTAAATATATGGCCACAGGAGAAGTCCCTCGACCAGACCATAAATATTGGGCCCTTTAACTTTGAGAAAGTAGCGCAGTGTAAGTATTTGGAGTCACTGGTAACACAAGACAATGCACCCGAGGTTGAGGTCAAGAAAAGAATATTTATGGCTAACAAATGTTACTTTGCCCATCGCAAGGAATTCACCTCTCGCCTTTTATCCCAGCATAACAAGAATCATCTTTATAAAACAGTCCTGCTCTATGCTTCAGAAACAAGGACAACGACTAAAAAAATTGAGCAAGACATCCTAATCTTTGAGAGAAAAATTCTTCAAAGAATATTTGGAGGAGTACAGACTGATGGAAATTGGAGAAGACGGACAAATGACGAGATTTGCTCAACTTTTAATGATCAAGATGTCATTCTGAGGATGAAGCTTGGAATATTGAGATGGGCTGGTCATGTGGCAA